CTTTCCATTGATATATAATTTTATGGTACTACTCCAAAAAAAGTTGGTATTAGCCATCAAACCTCAAAATACAATTTCCCCAAAAGGTTTCCACAATTTTGGCCACTACTGTAGAGCTCTTATGATCACATACTATATTATGCCACTTTACCAAAAGCTCAAGAGAAGAATCTCCAGAGTCAAACAAGATTTACTTTGGTGGAGTGGACGCTTTGGCATATATGTTCATGAACAGGTTCAGGCGAGTTGTAGGTGACAGATAAATTCTTTCTCCAGTAGTATATTTTGATGTTTTCCACCATTCCCTTCATCAGTTTGTTGTCTTTATTGGCATGTTATTTTGGGCAGTATAAATGTTTTTTAAAAAAGCACTTAGTATTTATTCAGTGGCACCAATGTATAAAGCGCAATCAAGAATTGACTATTCTCATTTAAAAGAAGTTATAAAACTTATTTAATTTCCTGACTACCATGTCCTCAAACTCCTCTATGACAATATTTACTTTTTTCAGATCAAGTCTAGAAATGTGGTATAAAGAGCAAGAATAACTGCCAGACCTCTTTATTTCACATGCTGGTCATGATTTATAATAGACCCAGAAAATAGATACGATTTCCTTTGTTTTCAAAGCACAGTCATGAACCTTCTCCTATAAAATGTTCATCCACTTATATGTATTTCTGGCTCTTGTCATGACTTTAAAATAATGCCCTTTTCACAGCAGTTTTATTCTTCAGATAGGGCTGTCCAAAATACCGCTCCGTGTATAGAAGAGTCTGGCTACAGATTTTGTTAGCAAACCTATTGTTCACTTCTGAAAAGTTTATTAAAAATAAATCTGCGCATCAGTTTTCGCGCAGATGAGTTTTAGAAATATCTGAACTGTAAATGGGCCAACCTTCCAAGATCTGATTCTGAGTATGGATTTTTGGGATCCATTCAGGCATGAAATCCTCTTGCCTCCGCTACTGGTTTGGAACCGGGAGCATGCACATGTGTGCACTCGCTTCGCTCACACACGGCACTTCGGTGCATGCCAAAGCATCCCATGATGACGTCTGGGCAGGTGGGCAGAGCCTCCCACCACTGCCACTACCGGTTCTCCCAAACCGGGGTGAACAGGGCAGAATACCACCGTAGTTTCAAAACATGTAGACCACTAAGTTTCAAAACATGTTTTGAAACAATGTTTCAGCTAAACGATGTAGACTGCTAAGGAATCTTGAGTTAGGGCAAAGTAAATTTCGTAATAGGCTTCTGCCACAGAACTGTTTGGAGTGATCCGTCTCTATGATAACAGATCATGTTGTTTTAATCTAATGAGGTAACATTCCTCTTTCTTATTCTGTCACTACAGGACTTGGTCTTGCCCTGAACCTCCAGCCTTCAGTAATCATCGTTGGGAAGTATTTCCTGAAAAGACGTCCCATTGCCAATGGACTTGCCATGGCAGGAAGCCCTGTCATGCTTTGCACCCTTGCACCCTTGAACCAGTTCCTTTTTGACACTTTTGGATGGAGGGGGAGCTTTTTCATTCTCGGGGCAATTCTGCTGAACAGCTGCGTAGCTGGAGCCCTCTTCAGACCAATTGGACCAAGGCAAAAAAACAAAGATGCAAAAGAGGCCGTAAGAGAAAAACCTGATGGAGGCATTGCCGAAATGGGGGACCAGGATACGGAAACAAAGGAAGACAAAGATTGTTGTGAAAACTTCAACAAGTTCCTTGACTTTTCACTTTTTAAACACAGAGGCTTCCTCATCTATCTGATAGGGAACGTGCTGATGTTTTTAGGATTTTTTGCACCGATTGTCTTTTTGGCTCCTTATGCCAAGCACCGTGGGATTGATGAATATTCAGCAGCTTTTCTCCTTTCCATTCTAGCAATAGTTGACATGATAGCCAGGCCAGCTACTGGGATCATTGCAAATACCAAATGGGTGAGGCCAAGAATTCAGTATTTTTTCAGCTTCTCCATTGTTTTTAATGGTGTTTGCCACCTGCTGTGCCCATTGGCAACAAGTTACATGGGTTTAGTCATCTATGCTATCTTTTTTGGCCTGGCCTTTGGTATGGTTTGTGCAATGCTCTTCGAAACTCTCATGGATCTTGTTGGTGCCAGCCGTTTCACAAGTGCTGTAGGACTAGTCACTATAGTGGAATGTTGCACCATATTACTTGGGCCGCCTATTGGGGGTAAGAACATTTATACTCTTTTTCCATTAGTCTGCACAACAATAAAAACAATCATTGCTTTTAATTTCAAGGAAGAAGCATTAGATGTTAACGCTTTCCCTCCTACTCTTAAAATCTGATTTCTTGATTCTGCACTGTCCTGATCAATTCCATATTCTCTGAAGTTTTCAAATTTCATTTAAACTAGGTTCATCAGAAGTATGCCTCAAGGAATAAAACTATCACTCAACAAGAAAATTCATTCCCTTGGAATTTTCCATTCATTAAAATGGATGTTGCAGAACTAAACTGTTAAAACTACCCAAAGGCTGTCTAAAATTCAGTTTAGATGAGCCTTGCTACCGAAATGTTCTATGCCTTGCAAAACTTCAAATTTCTTTGCTGGCGAGTTAATAGTTAGATTTTAGATAAAGATTAACATAATAAATTCATGTAATTTCTTTTAGTAAATTTATATATGGGATCACAGTTCATTCATTATATTTCTGTACTGCTCATTAGTTAATTATTCTTAATATAAAGTTAAACAGACAAAATATGCAAATAAACAGCGTTCATAAGATTAAAACTAGCAGCAGCCAAGATAAAACTAGTCTTCAGATAGCTAAGGTAATGGATTAGGACTTCACAGACATAGGTCACCATCATGGTAATATGTTTAAGGACTTCAGCCACGTAAGTCATCCTGGGTTTATGGAGAATGAATATATATCTACGAACACACACACACACAAACACACAAATTCACATGGTACCTGGAAGCAATGCTTCCATATCTGAACTGCAAAAATCCAGATGACTACTGGATGATATTAAGATACATGGATAGTTCTAATTATTAATGACTATCTAGCAATCATTCAGATTTTTAAACTTCATTTATTTTTATTGATGTCTCTCCATCTCGCTGATAACGTGACTCAGGGTGCCTTTCAAATAAATATGTGAATATTTATAGCAATACTATTCACATGCTAGAAATATGTTTAATACACGTTTAGCAATTTCATAAAACATTTGAAATCTTTATCAGAGGATATTGCTAAGATAGAGCCGAGGTGGCGCAGTGGGTAGAGTGGAGTACTGCAGGCCACTTCAGCTGACTGCTATCTGCAGTTCAGCGGTTCAAAT